AAATTTTATGTTGCTGGATCAGTTTATTCTAACCAAAACATTTGAGTTTTAAATACATACACCTAGGCACTTGGAAGTTTTTATTATTATTACATTTATTTGTCCCACCCCAACTCGGGATTTGAGGTGGCCCAGAGTGGCTAAGAAGCTGGCATAAAACATCTGGTGCTTGACAGAACCTCTGCATGCATAGAACTGTATCCAGTGTACACAAACATTCAATGTATAACAAAACACCATAATTGCATAGGTCTTTCACACAAAACCAGGCACAAAGAAAATACTACTACTACTTCAGGGAGAGAAAAAAAAGATACAATTGCTTTTGCACTTGGCAGCACTATAAAAGTATGTACAGTACTCCTTATCAGTACTAAACTAAAGCAGTTCCCAAGCAGCAAGGTCCTGAAAGCTAGCTAAATGGGACCACACACCAAGCTTCCCTGGCCATCATCTGTCTAAGCTACTGCCAAAAATGAACTATGCTGGTGGCATCATTGACAAATTGTTTCAATATCCAAACACCTTCCTGTGCAACAGTAAACTACACAAAATCTGTTCCTCGACCAAAATTCATAGGGTAGGAATTTGGCAGTGAACTTTTTCATACAATTTCACCTCTTCAAATGCCATGCTTGAAAAATATAATTAAGTTATTACAAAGTGAGATGGAAGAGGGAAACGACCAAGACTTTCACTTTATGTTAATTAATATATAGCAGAAGATTTCGGTGGTGATTAATCCAATATCAAGGCACATGTCACAGTCAAGGCCTCTAACATCTAAATCCCAATAATATATTTGAGTGTACTTCTAAAGTGTTGCTATAGTGATAGATAGCTAAAGAATACTATATGACTGAGATACTGTTCTAAACACTGTCAATTACCAGTGATATTGTCTAGGTCACCAACATTCACATTAATAAATAAATATTATTTAGGACTTAAGATACTTTGAGATGCCTCTCTTCAACAAAAATAGATCTAAACATGATGATAGCCAAATATAAAAACAGATGCAATGTTGAATGAAATGCTTTAAAGGGTGCCCTATTCACCTCTACACATACAATGTTTAATATCATTTACCTTATTTAATGCTGCAGAAAATGTAACATATTTTCTGTTACCCAAAGTATTTCATCATGCACTCAACTGTCAATAGCACTGATTTAAAGGGAAACAAGGAATCTAAAGCCAGCCCTCCTGAGATATAGTTGATCACCATTATCGCTAATAGCTACATCTACAGTTGGATTAAACCTTGAAGTGCTACACAGCAGAATTACTATATTATTATAGTGAGTTAAGTATTATATTAACTCACTATGCAAAGTACCCAATATATGCACTAAGAAATGCATCTCCTGGAAATCATTTCAGCTACTTCTTTATGCCAAAAGAGCACAATTTTGCATTTCAGCCATATGAAATAAGTATTGTTTCTTCTTTTAGTAGGATTCTAAAGGTAATATTACATTTATGTTTCAACAAGATTGTCACGCTGCTTAATCTTCTGAAAGTATATCAAATACCACAGCCCTCATTGTGTTTTCACTACATAATGCATAGCTAAGATGTTCAATTCCCCCAGCACTGCACAACCAGATATAATGGCACCTGAGTGAAAACAAGCCAATGGAGATTTAAAGATAGCACTCCTACTAGTAAGCAGCTGATAATTTTTTATCCATTATTCATGCAGCATTTCTGGAATATAAATTTCCCATAGTATTCAACTTTGTGCACTGTCTTTTAGAATACTGGCTAGTCATGTATCATAAATCAGTTGGATATTCATTTATTAGAAAACTACATGTTTAGGCAAGTTTATAAATCTGGACATTTAATAATGCAAGTATTAAAAAAAACTCAAAATAATTATATTTTAATTGTGTTGGAAGGAGAAAAATATTGTTTCAAAGGCACCCAGATACCGAATCAGTTATCATTAATTATTAATATATTCAATTTATCTGCAGAATCTCAAAACTGCATTAGAGGAATATGTTTTAAAGAAACCCTTCACTAGCACCATGCTAACTAACACTTACTTAATTAGCACCCTCCCTCTACAACAAATAAAAAAAGTCCCAGATCTGAAAATAGATGCAATTTCAACAAAAAAAATCAATAATCTAAATTCCATTTCTAGAATTGAAAAGCATTGGATAAAAATGTCTTTCTGCAACAACCATTTTGATTATGAACCAGAGAAACAAATAGCCACCGCCTCATCTTAAACCCTTCCTTTGCATTTAATCCCAAAACATAATGTTTAAATACTGAAATTCAAGACTATCAGGGAAAAGGGAGGGAGAAACTGAACACAATCTTACTTTTCTTCACAACTAGCATCAGAAGCTGTTTGAAAATTTGCATTAAAAGGATTTATAATTCAGAGATATGCAAATCATATCAAATCCAGTTGCCCTGAAATGCAAGATTTGTTGTTTCATTTTAAAATATTTCACTGAAATCATGCATTTTAATCTTCTGAGCACAGAAAACATAACAAGGATTTTCAAGACAATCAAAAAAGCTACATCAGGCTGAACCATTGTCCAATTTTTTGGAGATACCCTTCTTGTTTCACAAATGCACCCTTTATTTTGGAAAACACCTCATTCAGAGAATCAGTTCAAAAATGTAAGGAAGCCATATTAGCTCTTTTTGTGTCAGAATACACCCTCGAATTACCATCACCCACCCTCTAGCCACACTGATGGGAAATTCAAATTTAGCATTTAAGCTAAATTAATTCTGGCTGTGGCACTAAAAAAAAAAAGCCCTCCAAATGGAATACATATACCACAAGGACCCATTGATATTTACTAACCACAATGACAAGGGAATTCTCCCCCTCAAACAATTGATTTTGTGTTTAGAATGCAATAAAAAAAACGGAAGACTTAGATTAACTAGCCACTCTTTCCCCAAAGGCACACCCCTCATTTAAGTACTCCCCTCCAAAAAGTGATATATGTATCCTCTCTAAACAGATTCCCCATTAACTGGATTTAAGGAAATATATACTTGCATTCCAATACTAACATGCCGCTTGTTTAGTGTCACCCCAGCACAGCATAAGGAATTGTAGCACCTGGTTTTAAAACGTTCAGATTTTTAACTGCAATAAAACAGCCTTTTATGTCAACCTAACAGCCCATCTCACAATTAACATGGCTGTAACTTCACAATTATCTCAAGACTATCTTCGATGAAAAGAGGACCAACCCTGAGCAAATTGTAAAGCATCAATTCTCCCCCTATTTACAGCAATATTAAAGCAGGCAAGTGGAAAAGCTGGCCGGTTGATCTCTTCAAATATTAGCCCTGCCTAAATCATGATTAAAACACCTGCCACACCTCCTCCCTTCCCATTCCTCCATATTTTAAACCTTACCGACCGAAAATATCAGATTGAAAAGAAATAAACAATTTAGCCTGCATCCTGCAGGGGAACTGCAATGATCAGCCTTTTTTTTTTTAAAGGGGGAGGGGGCAGTTGCTTTTTTTTTTTAAAAAAATCCAACTATCCTTCCCATTCAGTTATCTGAATTTTCTAGCAGCTTCTGATTTTGGGGGGGGGGGGGGGGGGGTTCTTTTAAGAAAAAATAGCAAAGGCCCCAGTGGATTCTCCCTCTCCTGTTAACAGCAGCATCTTGGCTCTTGAATGTCACCACTACACTGAAAATATATATATATATTTTGGGGGGGGGGGGTGTTGGGGAGGTGTAGAAAAAGGGATTCCTCTCTCCTTTTGATCCCCCCCCCCTGACTTGGGGGGGGGGACGGGGACATTTTGGACTTCCAAATCCAAAATCCTCCACCCTTCCCCCTCCCTGCCAAAGGATTGTGGAAATAATGGCGAGGTTACAAAGGGGAACCCCCAAGCACATCCTCAAACGCCAGCAGGACAGATGCACCCCCTTCCCACCCCCCCACTCCGACCAGGGGCAGCTTCCTTTTGAGAAACAAAAAGCAAAGCAACATTTTAAACGCCTTTCTTTCTTTCTCTCTCTCTTTTCTCCCACCACCCCTCTTCTTTTTTTTTTCTTTTCTTTTTCAACCCTCAAACTATACTAAAAACCAGCCAGGAATTTGGGAAAGGGTGGGGGGGGGGAAGAGAAAAAAAAATCCTAAAAGACATCTTTGGGCTTGTCGTCTCCTTCCATTCTAGAGGCCCGACCTTGATGCCCCCCCAACCCTCAAATGTTAAAAAGCCCCTCAGGGACCCCACAAACGGTGGCTGCTGGACAAGTATGGGGTGTGTGTGTTTGGGGGGGGGTCCCCAAATAGCTGTCCCGTGGGAGACCCTGGAGCTTCTCGCCCCCCCCCACACCCTTCAGTCACACCTTCTTCAAAGCCCCCCCCCACACGAATTACCTGGCGTGTGGTAAAATGGAGCAGGGAGTGAGGGGTGGTGGTGGTTTGTCTTAAAACTAGGTCATAACTGAACTCTAAAGCTCTTAAAAAAGAAAAGGCCTGCGGGTCGGCCTTTCTGGAGCTGACGCCCCGTGGATTTTCGCCGGGGGTGGGGTGAAAGAAACCCACTTCGGGGATGGGTGGGGTTGGGTTGGGTTGGGAGAAGGCCTGGTGGGAGACCTCTCTGGAGTTTTTTTTTGTTGGTGGTTGTTGTTGCAAGCATCCTTTCTTCTCCCTTCGGTGGCTGCTCCGTTGGGGAGAGCCCAAGTACGCGCCCAGCTGCCCTCGACCGGGGGCAAAATACCCACCAGCAGCAACAAGGGGCAACGCTCCGGGAAGGGCAAGGCCGGTTCAGGAGAAAGGAGAGCGGGGCCCGAGAGGCGGATGGCTGCGGATTCGGTTTGGTTCGAGTTATCGAGAAGGATGAAGCAGGGGACAAGATGGCGGAGGCCTGAACGTTCTAACCGGCTCAACCCGACCTATTCTCCCATCTAACACCAGTACCGCTTTCTCAGGAGGTGGGGGAAAAAAAAACAGGCTTGCTGAGAACGAACCAGGCCGATACCCACCTCGTCGGATCGGGCTCGGTCCGCTCTTTCCGGATACGAGCTTCCCGGGGGCGGAAGGGAGTCCAAGGCGAAGGATGGAGGCAGATTACGCTAACCCTCTCCCCCGGCTTTATAATTTGTCCAAGGCCCGATGTGGCAGCCTCGGCGTCTAAGCACCGACTAAACGGCCATCCGGGTCTCAGGCCCCGGCGGCGGCGCGAAGCCACGCCCCTTACGCTGTTGTAAGGAGGAGGGGCTTAAGGGGAGAAAACCCGGAGGAAGGGAATCGAGAAGTAAATTGTGGAGTTGGTTTGAGGTGTGGACGTGGGTTAATGGCGTGGCAAGATCCGTGTCAGACCGTAACAGCCTGCGGTGCCCGGAAGGTTCTCTTCCTTCTTGATTGCAAATAAATAAATAAATAAATTGCAAATTAAACTGAAGGGAGAGACGTTATAAGGAACAATAGTATTATTATTAGTATTATTAGTATTATGGTATTATTAATAGTATAGAGACGTTATAAGGAATAATAGAATAATAATAGAAGCTATAAGGAATAACACAATAGATACAAACTCGAGGTAAACCGCACCAAACTTGATTGCAGGAAATACGACTTCAGCGCCAGAGTGGTCAATGTCTGGAATACTCTACCTGACTCTGTGGTTTCTTCCCCAAACCCCAAAAACTTGAATTTTAAGACTGTCTACTATTGACCTCACCCCTTTCCTAAGAGGTCTGTAGGGGGCGTGCATAAGTGCACCAACGTGACTACTGTCCCTGTCCTATTGTTTATTTTTCTTATATGTATCCATTTCATGTATTTAAAACTATGTTTATACTTATACCTGTTATCTTATAATCGCTTGACAAAATAAAATAAATAAAAATAAATAAGAAAGACATGTTTGTCTACGGGGGCAAGAAAGTAATCAGTAGTCTAGATAAAGTAACTTTTTTTGACTACAAGTGGTCCTTGACTTGTGACTGCCATTTCTGTTGTTAAGTGAGACAGTTCTTAAGTGAATTTTGCCCCCTTTTATGTGCTTCCTTGCTACGTGTTGTAAAGTGAATCAATGCAGTGGTTCCGTTACGTCATTAAAGTGAATCTGGCTTCTCCAAGGATTTTGCTGGTCAGAGGGTTGCAAAAAGTGATCACATGACCCCAGGATACGGCAACCGCCAGTTACCAAGGGTCTGAAATGTGATCACAAGACCACGGGGATGCTGCGGTGGTTGTAAGTGTGAAAAACGTTCATAAGTCACTGTTTCCGCTGCTGTTGTAATTTTGAACGGTCATTAAATGAACTGTAAGTTGAGGACTACCTGTATGGTGTACCACTTTTATTAAAAGGTGTAAATTTATCATCTCCCGACAGCTTGTCTTTGGATAGGTGTTAGTTGGAAAAGTTGCTACCAGACTCCTGATTTTTTTTTTTTACCTAACAGGATAAAGGTAAAGGTTCCCCTCTCACATACATGCTAGTTGTTTCCGCCTCTAGGGGGCGGTGCTCATCTCTTACAAAGCCGAACAGCCAGCGCTGTCCGAAGACGTCTCCGTGGTCATGTGGCCAGCATGACTAAACACCAAAGGCACACCGAACGCTGTTACCTTCTGTTGGAAGAATTATCCTGGGTTCAGTTCCAAGTGGGGAAGAAAGACACTAGAAACATGGTGACTATTTGGGAAGATGGTTTAATGGTGGACAGGACCACATGGCTTGGAGCGCCAAAGTAAAAAGGACGATCACATACTTCAAGGTGAAAGAAAAAATCAACAAGGGCTGAGATGCTGAAGAGTCCCTTATATACCCTCTGCTTGGATTTGAATCTGAGTTTGTATTCTGATTGGTTGTCAGGCTCCCATGGGGCCATGCAGGGGCAACTCTGTAGGCTGTCCTGAGTCCCAGGCTTGGTTGAGCCTTGCTGGATGATGATGTAATGAAAAGGGCTTTGGGCAATTCCTATTATGGCTCTACCTGAAGGAGGTAGATCTTTGTTATGTAAAATAGACTGGCCTAGGCCAGAGTAATGGCCCATTAGCAAAGGTGGGAGGGCTGAGTTTCTAAGCTTCTGAGGTGAGTTTCTACTCTTTTTAGGGGAAATATTCTGCCTTTTTAATATTTCCTAGGATATTTCATTTTTCTAGGAGTGGGGGTGGGTGCTACCTTCCTACACTTCCCACCAAAGGTGGTCCCTATTTTTCTACTTGCATTTTTTACATGCTTTCGAACTGCTAGGTTGGCAGAAGCTGGGACAAATAATGGGAGCTCACTCCGTTACGCGGCGCTAGGGATTCCAACAGCCGAACTGCCGACCTTTCTGATCGACAAGCTCAGCGACTTAGCTGCTGAGCCACCACGTCCCTTGACCTAACAGGACAGTGCCCCTCCCAGTTTTGGGGGAGTTTCATGAAGAGAGGTTTTTCGGTAGACCAGAGGTGGCGTGGTTTTGTGTGCTGCCTGCATCCCATAGATGGGCTTCACTTGCTTGCACGGCCCAGTTTCTGGCATGCCACAGCCTGGTGCCCATCCAGGGATCATGGGTTGGGGCCCCCTGCAATAGGAGATGGCTTAAATTCCAGTTTAGATGGAGCTGACCATCAGGCTGCTAATAAACATATTCTTTGGGAGGACAAAAAAGAAATCCCTTGTTTATTCACAAAGAACTTACTTTCTATTAGTGTATTGCGGAGGTGGTATTCAGCAGGTTCTGACCATTTCTGGAGAACCGGTAGCGGACATTTTGAGTAGTTCGGAGAACTGGCACATCCCACCTCTGACTGGCCCCACCCCCATCTATTCTCCGCCTCCCAAGTCCCAGCTGATTGGCTGGGTCTTCTTTGGTTGCCCTGCACAGGAGAACGGAGCTGGAAAGCAGGTTAGTAGGGTGAGGAAGGAATGGGGATTTTACAGTATCCGTCCCCTGCCATGCCCACCAAGCCACCCCCACAGAACCAGTAGTAAATTTCTTTGAATCCCACCACTGGTGTATTGCGTGCTAAAAGAAGGCTGGGGGTGTTTTCCTGTGATATGGGCCATCCCAGGCATGGTTCAATATTTGAAATGGTTAGATAGGCTTCACGTGTTGTTTTTTTTCCAAAGCAGTGAAAGTATAATCAGTTCGACCTCTCCCCAAGCAAATAAGCAAGCTCTCATAGCACCAAGGACTCCAGGGTTAATATTCAACCCAAAGTGATATTTCAATAATTTGGTTTCTAATATGCTTCTATTCACCTGGGCAATGTTGATGACAATGTCAACAATAACTCTTGTTTGTTCAGGCCCAGCTCCTGCTACGGTTGGTGGAAGAGGCTCCAGTGGATATTTTGCTCCCGAGTGGCTTCAGAAAAAGATCCCGGATTCTGAATAAAGGTGTTACAGATGTTGTCGCGGGGAAGAGAATATGGTTGGAAATAATAGTAGCACATAAATTGGTTATCTGTGCAAACCAAGTTTAAAATCCTGGATTTGCTTTAGGTGTGAACCCCAAATAACGCTCCTGAGTGTCAATTTTACATGACCTGGGCTGTATTTATACACCGATAACAGATAATCAGAGTTGGAAGAGAACTTGTAGGTCATCTAGTCCAAGGCTCTCTAACCTTGGCTACTTTAAGCCTGGAGGACTTCAACTCCCAGAATTCCTCATGCAGCAAAGCTGGCTGGGAAATTCCGGGAGTTGAAGTCCACAAGTCTTTAAAGTTGCTAAGGTTGGAGACCCCTGATCTAGCAGTATTCCAGTATTTGAGGGGCTGTCACAAAAAAGAGGGGATCAAATTATTCTCCAAAGACAAGAAACAATGGATGGAAACTAATCAAGGATAGAAGCAACCTGGAATTCAGGAGAAACTTCCTAACAGTGAGGACAATTAACCAGTGGAACAGCTTTGCCTTCAGAAGTTGTGGGGGCTTCATCACTGGAGGTTTTTAAAGATGAGTACACTAATCCAACCCCCTGTCAAGCAGGAAACTCTATACCAGTGACGGCTAACCTTTTCGGCACCGAGTGCCCAAAGCACGTGCACAGTGGTGGGATTCAATTTTTTTTACTACCGGTTCTGTGGGCATGGCTGGGTGGGCGTGGCAGGGGAAGGATACTGCAAAATCCCCATTTCCTCCTCACCCCATTAACCTGCTTTTCAGCTCCGTTCTCCTGTGCAGGGCAACCAAAGAAGACCCAGCCAACCAGCTGGGACTCGGGAGGCAGAGAATAGATGGGGGCGGGGCCAGTCAGCGGTGGGATTCGCCGGTTCTTGGAACTCCTCAAAATTTCCGCTACTGGTTCTCCAGAACTGGTCAGAACCTGCTGAATACCACCTCTGCACATGCCCACCCCCAAAATGCAATGTGCATGCATCCCCGTGCATGCACCCCACCCCAGTATATACACCCCATCCCACTGTGCATGCGCACATATCCCCCACGCAACCCCCCCCCCGCCCCAAGTATGCATGTGCTCTCCCCCCCCCGTGCATGTGCCCTGCCCCCCGCATGACCCCCTCACATGCACCTCTCCCTTCTTGCATGTATGGGAGAGACCCGAAGACCAGCTGGCCAGCAGGAGGCGCATGCGCTCATGCGTGGCAGAGCTGAACTGGGGTAACAGCTCGCATGCCCACGTGTGCCATAGGTTCCCCATCACAGCCAGGAGTGGGATTCAAATTTTTAAACAAACGGTTCTGTGGGCGTGGCTTAGGTGGTGTCCATGGCTTGGTGGTCATGTTATTGGGTGGGTGTGGCTTGGTGGTCATGTTATTGGGTGGGCGTGGCCAACTCAATATCACTCACATCAAGGCACGCATCTCCTCACCTGGCCTCTCATGACTGTGGGGATGCTGCAACAGTCGTAAGTGTGAAAAACGGTCATAAGTCACTTTTTTTCAGTGCCATTGTAACTTTGAATGGTCACTCCACACAAGCAAAGTACCGGTAAAGGAGGGGAAAAAAACTCCAGAGACATTCCTGAGATAGAAGTCTAGTCCTGCCAAGAAAGTAATAAGGGTTAACAGAGAGGCAATTTCTGTAAGCAACACCAGAATGTTTCCTTCCTGACTTCCTTACAGGATTAGGCTAGTAATTTCTTCTAACAACCGGTTCTCCGAACTGCTTAGAATGTTAACAACCGGTTCTAGCAAATAGGTGCGAACTGGTAGAATCCTACCCCTGATCACAGCCTTATACCATTTTAG